AACTTTTGACTGATTTAATGAGAGACCTCACTTAAGAATGCACTGTTTCCAGAGCAGATAAAAGATTATAAAGTTAGCCTGATGTGATAGTTTTAAGCCTGACATCCCACTTCTCAAGAGACAGGAGGATTATTTCAAGTTCAAGGCCAACCTTAAACAGTTTTATAGCCTAGATGACAATGAAACCCTACACCCCTCCAAGAGAAAGATAGTGACAGAGAGATTTTAAAACTACCTTAGTTTCTGATATATTGTGATCAAAGAATCCAATGCATATTTGCTTTGCTCAACTTTCCTATCCCATTTCTCTTATAATTTTTCACAGGAATTGCCTTAATTACCATGTATATAGCTTGTATTGCATTGATACTGTCCTTATTCCAGGTCTTATTAAAGAATTTCACAACATAATGTTCTTTTGTTTGTTTGTTTCGAGACAAGGTTTCTCTGTGTAGCCCTGGCTGCTCTGGAACTCACTCTGTAGACCAGGCTGGCCTTGAACTCTTGAATGCTGGGCTTTGTAATGTTAATTTGAATTTAATTAAGCAGTGAATTGGAGTTGAGTATACAAAAGAGTGAAAGATTCAGGATTTTCACTTGTTTCCAACCCAGGGGTGGGTAAGACATTATTGTATGGTAATCTTTAACCAAGAGTAGTGGAGGTCTGTTACTACTCTGTGGGTAGCCATGCAAAATACATAGGCACAGAATAGCACTTATACAGGCAACTCTTTGTACAGACAGTTCTGTAAATTATGACTGCATCTCCTAAAGAGAATTTCCTGCTTGGTAGTCCATTTTTTCTAATAACCCAAGAAACTTGGCATAGAAAGCTGTCCTCACCTCCAGGAAGTCTTTTAAATAAATAATCTGAAGATTATTTCCTTTGGGGGGTATTGTGTCCAAGCTGGATATGGTGACTCACACCTGCAGCGCCAACAGTCAGGAGGTTAAGTCAGGAAGATAGTAAGTTTGAGGCCAATCTGGACTGTATATAGTAAAACACAGTCTCAAATGAATAGACAAGTTCAGTTGTTCCAATCTGAAAGAACTATGTAGAAACTGGTTTGGCTGGTTACTACGTTGAGTGCTAGTAACGTATAAGTCATAAAACAATGCCCTTTGTTTCTCCTCTCCAGGTGCAGCTTCTAGTTGGGGCTGCCCACCACTTACAGAGTGTTGCTTCATCTCCACTCCTAGAAATGCTAGTTCAGAATGTGTGAAATCACTTCATCTTTTTTTGTTGTTGTTTTAAGTTTTAGCGATGTTTCAGGCAAATCTTTTTCTAGTTATGTGCCACTGATAGCTTACATTTTAATTGCTACTCCGCATGGAATCTAAGTTTAATTCATACTGATTTTGTGACCTTACAAAGATGAACCTAGGAGGTAGCTAGAAGAAAATTATAGTCATAATTTGGATTTAAAAAGGAACTAATTTAAATTCTTCTGTATTGCAAAGATGAAAAAGCCAATCTGCAGAAGGAAGCAAAGGAATTTGCTAGAAGTAGTAGCAGAAGCAAATGCTAGATACAAAACTCTTTTTTAATTTATTTATTTTATGTGCATTTGTGTTTTGTTTGCATATATGTCTGTGTGAGGGTGTTGGGTCCCCTGGATCTAGAGTTACAGGCAGTTGTGAGCTTCCATGTCATTGCTGGGAATTGAACTTAGGACCTGTGGAAGAACAACCAGTGCTCTTAACCGCTGAGCCATCTCTCCAGCCTCAAGATAGACACAAAACTATTAACTTGAACTCTTTGTGTTCGTGTTTTAGAGCTAGTACCTCCCTAGCAATGCTGTGAAGCCACGCAATGGTCTGGATATGGTCTCAGACACCCCAGAGTTCACTAAGGCCTTCTGAAGTTTTAAATGCAACAAACAGGAAGTGCTCATTCTTTTAAGTTTCTTGACAGATTTTATTATTGACATTATTGTTAGAAATTATAGACATTACCCAAAAATGCTTTTGTTGAGGTTTTAGTAAATATGGACAAAGGGCTATCTAGGTTGATCCTGAAGGTTGTTGAAAACAAGCAACTTATTCATCCCATTTTTAAAACCTAACTTGGAACTTTGTTTAAAAAGAGAACAGTGTACCTAGACTTGGAATTCAGCCAAGTAAAGGAACAATGTATTTAAGAAGGATGATCTTTGGTTTTTCTTTTTTCAAGTGTACTTCCCACTTTCTCTTCTGTGAGGTTCAGTGTGGTTGGTTTTATGTTGAGGTCTTTGATCCATTTGGACTTGAGTTTTGTGCATGGCGATTGATATGGATCAATTTGCATTCTTCTACATGTTGATATCCAGTTATGCCAGCACCATTTGTTGAATAAGCTTTCTTTTTTCCATTGTATATTTTTCAGCTGTGGTGGTTTTTTTTTTTTTTTTTTGATTTTTCAAGACAGGGTTTCTCTGTAGCTTTTTGGTTCCTGTCCCCTGGAACTAGCTCTTGTAGACCAGGCTGGCCTTGAACTCACAGAGATCCATCCGCCTGCCTCTGTCTCCCAGTGCTGGGATTAAAGGCGTGAGCCACCACTGCCCGGCCTGGTTTTTCTTTTTTAAATAAAGCATGTAACTGTTGCTCAGTTAGATTAAGAAAAATCTAGAAACAACTCTAGAGATGTACTTTAGTGATACAATCCCCAGCATCTGAAAACAAAACAGAAAGGATGTGGATGGATGTAAAGTCCAACTTGGATGTGACTATGGAACAGACATCAGATCATCGGCTCTCAAGCTCTTTTGGTTGCTACATCTACTCCTGTTACTCTATTATATCTTTAAGATACTTTGTGATTCTCTTTGGTTTCTGGAGTTCCGTAAAGTGACCTGTCCTCTTTAATCAGCTCTCTTGAAAGGGCTTTTCTAGATAGAACCACCCTGTTCAGAAATTTCTGCTTCCATCTCATCGACCATTCCTATAATAAGTTGCAACTGTGCAGGTTGCTTTTTGCAATGGATGGAAGTTCTGGAGACTGGAGAGATCGCTCAGTCAGTAAATTTAAAACCAAAAGTTGAACACCCCACCCAGGTAAAAAGCCAGGCCCAGTGGTGCACACTTGTATTCTCAGTGCTGGGGAGGCAAAGACAGGAACACCACCTGAGGTTGACTTTAGCATACACACAAATGTATACACACATGCAAACACCTCTGCATTGTACACATAAATACACACACACACACACAAAGTTCTTTTAGTAAATAGGAAAAAAGAAACAATGAATGTTGGCAAGACAACTAACAGACCCTGCTGCAACTATCTCTTAAGAATATAATACTAATGTTAGGGAAATAAGTTTTTAGAGATATTTTTAAAAATCTATTAAATTGAGCATAAATTTAAAATATCCCCAAACTATCTGTCATGTGTTTGATAGATAAAAGCAACTAACCTCTTTGGTAGAATGTTCTACATTGAATTTCTCAGCAAGACTCCTTGGAAACAACTGTTAGATTTTGTGTGTTTAAAATCTTGAAAAATGACTGGAACAACAGGGGTAGAGGGAAAAAGACAATTCAGTTCAAATCCTGTTTCTGCTTGGAGACAGAATAAAAATAACTCGAGAATTGGTAGGAGCAAGAGTACCTTAGTAGACGATATAGACTAGGCATGAACATATTAAAATACTCAAGTTGTTTAGTGTCTAAGAGGAACAAGATATATTAATGCAGTTTATGAAATGCATTGTAGCAGTGAATCACAGTAGCTCCAGATATATAAGGACTTTCCTGGGGAAAAGGATGGTTAGGTGTGCATTGCTTCTGCCTATATTTCATTCATATAAATTAAAAAGAATGACGGCTGGAGAGAGAGCCATGAAGAGCTCTTCCTGCATTTCCAGAGGGCTGAAGTTCATTTCCCAACACCCACATCTTAGAACCACCTGCTACTCCAGCTCCATTGGATCAGGTGCCCTCTTCTAGCCTCCATGGGCACCTATGCATAAATAAAAACCTTTAATTTTTGGTTTTGAGCCTAGCCTTTAACATTGAGCCGTCTCTCAGCCCCCAAAATAATTCTTTTAAAAATAAAAAGATGGAACTAGGCAGCTCACATCTTTAGTCCCTGGCTTGGGAGGCAGAGGCAAGCGTTTCTCTGTGAGTTTGAATAGATTAATATATACATGTGTAGGGTGGAAATGTTGTTGCTAGCTGAGATAATTTTTTAAATGTTTTCAGCTTTCTAAGTATTTACTGTTCTCATGTGGTGTCATTTACTGAATACATTGTTTTTATAATCCACTGTAAAGAGAAATTCATTCGCAAGTTGCTATTTAGGTGAGAAAAATCCAATTTTTTTTAGCTTCATATATCTATAAATTTCAAATTTGGAGAAATTGGAGATTTTGAGATTTTTCCCTTTTCCTTTCATAATACTTAACAGCAACCAAATGTTAAGTGTCTGCTGGCTCCAAGCTGAGAGAAAACAAAGCCCTACTGAGATTCTATGTGAAAAGAAAGCCAGTTTTGCTGGCCTAGGGCCAGATGGCACCTCTTTGACCTAGCCTCTTCAATCTGAATTCTCCAGGGGGCAGCAGTTGCAAACAACTCCTTTTGGCTTTAGCTGTAAGCACTGGGTGTGCTAATGAAACCAGCTAATGTAACAAAGTCTGTTAGCCTGGCTTTGAGCTCAGTGAGGCTTCCTTTGAACCTTTTATGATACTGCACTTTCAGTCATCCTTTGGGAAGAATAGTTTACAGTCTGAACCAATAATGGAAAGGAACCATTTTCTTTTATATAGTAGTGGAAATGCCTTTGGCACTCTGGTATTAAATAACTGCTTATTTGAACATACAGTGCAATGCTTAGCTTTTTCCACCAGTGATGGTTCCCATTGAAGCTATTATACTCAGTTTAACTTTTCCAAGAGGGGCTGTGAAAGGAAATTGAAATCTCACAGATTACACTTCATATTATAGTCATTGCTAATGCAGTTATCTTACGTTTTGGTTTTTGTGTCTCCCACTCTGTACCCCATTTCCCCCTCTGCTTTTAGGTGAAGGCCTCCCACAGGTATATTACTTTGGACCATGTGGGAAGTACAATGCCATGGTGCTGGAGCTCCTTGGCCCTAGCTTGGAGGACTTATTTGACCTCTGTGACCGAACGTTTACTTTGAAGACGGTGTTAATGATAGCCATCCAGTTGGTGAGTTGATGTGCTATTCCAGAAGATAAATAGATTCCTTGTCCACATCCTTATGGGCCTTTTGCTGATGCATTAGCTATAGTGACATCTTAATTAGTTTTTACAGGCTTGATAGCATTCTAGGAGAATCTGGCAGACTTCTGAAAGGAACTATTAAAACCGCTGCTTTAGCTGGTTCCCTTGTATAATTTGGTCACAAAGACTCTTGACCAGTATGTAACATGCCAAACAACTAAGGTAAGTTCTTGATCACATGACTTAGAGGGTTACAAAAGGGCTGAACAGAGTCACAATGCATCTGCAGTTTGCTCTATTTTAAGAATTTACACCTTGAAGCAGAACCTTTTCTGTAACTGAAGTGGAGGAATATAATTTACATTAGGGAGAAAGGAAGCGAATAGGTGGAGTTGTACACATTCAAGTAATTACTTCAGAATTTTATTTATAGGTCTTAGGCACATAACTGTAAGGTTTTATCATGCCCTCCTTCTCTCACTGTTGAAATCTAGAAAAGATTAAAGGTACTACCCCCTGCACTAATCTTTATTCAAGATCACGTGACTGAAATGTTTAATTCTTTGATGTATTATGTACTTTAGGGCTGGCCAAGAAGCTTTGCAGCTAAATTACATACTAGTTCCAGCTTAAGCACTTAGAATAGTCTCTTTGAGAAGTTCTTTAGACCCTCAAGAGAGGAATTCAAATGTTGGGTTTTGTTTTGTTTTGTTGAGATGTTCTCACCAGCTTAGACTGGCTTTGAACTTTAGATCCTCTTGCTCTAGCCTCCTGAGCGCTAAAATGGATGTATACCACTGTCAGGTACATAGTCATTCATTTGAGGTAGTGACAGTCTCACTACACCATCATCTAATAGCAATTTGGAAACACTTGAAAATTGACCAAACTCTAAATATTTAAGCCTCCCTTTCTACACTCAGCAGAAATGCTTTATAGATAGAATTATTTAATGAAATTTGAGACAATGTTACAGTTGCTTATTTCAAGCTGTGGTTACTATAGCTTAAACACTGCGTGTCCTCCTTCGGCTGCCAGCCAGCTATCTGATGTTAGGTTAGCATTAATTTCACTCAGCCTCTGTTTTCTTACTTCTGCAATACCAAAATTGGGGTTAGAGAGTCCTGAACAACTGAAGACAGAAAGTGTAGACAAGTGAAGTGGCAGCTGCACCTGTGAGTCTCAGCACCTTTGCAAGTTACAATATATAAAGTAGTATTATGTTAGCCAAATTTACTGTCTCATTTTTTTCTCCTAATCTTAATAGTTATGATATATTTGTAACTAAAAGTACTAGGGGTGGGGTGTTCTGGAGATAGCAGTTAAGAGCAGTTACTACTCTTGCAGAAAACCCGAATTTGGTTCCTAGCCCCATATCAGACGACTAACACTGGTTATAACTCCAGTTCTAAGCCTCTGGCCTTGTGGGCACACGTAAACAACTGGTACATGTAAACTCATGCATACAAATAAATAAAATGACAAAACAAACCTTAAAATGTAGTTTTGGTTTATAAATCAGTAAAGTGGGAGATAAATAAGAGACAAATGGATTTTGTTGTTGTTCTTTTATTTTTTGGAGACAGGGTCTTACTATATACCCCTGGCTGACCTGGAACTCTCTTATGTAGACCAAGCTGGCCTTGAACTAATGGAGATCCATCTGGGATTAAAGGCATGCACTACTATACCCAGCCAAGAGATGAGTTTTATTTTAATTTTAGTTTCTGAAACCTTTTTTTTAATATTTATTTATTATGTATACAATATTCTGTCTGTGTGTATGTCTGCAGGCCAGAAGAGGGCACCAGACCTCATTACAGATGGTTGTGAGCCACCATGTGGTTGCTGGGAATTGAACTCAGGACCTTTGGAAGAGCAGACAATGCTCTTAACCACTGAGCCATCTCTCCAGCCCTAGTTTCTGAAACCTTATGCTGAGTTAGGGACAGTGGCATAGCTACAATGCCAGCTACTTAAGAAACGCAGATAGGACGGTTGCTTAAGTTCAAAACTCAAGGGCTAGCTAGACAGCAAGTAATACAGAAATCAATGAGAAGGAAAAAGTAAAACTGAAAAAAAATTGGGGGACCAGTGAAATGGCTCAGCAGGTAAAGGTGCTCGGCACCAAGCCTGACAACCTAAATTCTGTCCCCAGACCCATGTGGTAGAAAGAACTGACTTCTTTCTACAAGTTATCCTCTAACTGCCATAGCATGCCCATGAATGAATGAATGAATGAATGAATGAATGAATAGATAAATCATCATAACTTTAAAAAGGAATATTTTGGGTCAGGCATAGTAGCACATGCCTTTGATCCCAGCCTTGGGAGGCAGAGACAGGCAGAGTTCTGTGGTTCCAGGACAGCCAGAGCTACATAGTGAGAACCTGTCTCAAAAACTAAAAAAAAAATAAAAAAAAAAGGAGGGTCCAACCCCCCACCCCCGCGTGCTTATTTCAAGGTATTTCCATTATTTTCTTTCTTTCTTTTAGCTTTCTCGAATGGAGTATGTACACTCAAAGAATCTCATTTACCGAGATGTGAAACCAGAGAACTTCTTGATTGGCCGACAAGGCAATAAGAAAGAACATGTAATACACATAATAGATTTTGGACTGGCCAAGGAATACATTGATCCTGAAACCAAAAAACACATACCTTACAGAGAGCACAAAAGCTTAACTGGAACTGCACGATACATGTCTATCAACACGCATCTCGGCAAAGGTGTGTTTACAGGGGCAGGTCATGTGAACAACTTTGTTTTCCAATAGCACTTTATTGTGCATTACATTGTGCATTACAACTTGTACTGTTTGTTGCATCATAAGGTAAGTGACTTTTTTGTACTTAGATTGAGATGGTAAGTTAGTAATGTTTCCAAATACCTTCATACTGATGGATTCTTAATTCTTTCAACTGTTTTCTGATGCTTTGTTCCTCAGCAGTTTAAAAACTTGAGTTACTGCATCAAGGTAGTAGTATTTGAGAGGATTTGATAATGACACTTGTATTTACATGTTTGACTCTATATAGGAGCAGACAAAAGGAGAATATCCGGCTTGTGCCTGTGTTAGTGAAGAAGTTTCACTAAAGCATGGATTAGGGGACTGAAAAAATGGCTCACCAATTAAGAACACCGACTACTCTTATAGAAGACTAGGTTCAGTTCCCAGTACGCACATGACAGTTCACAAATGTCTGTAACTCCTGTTTCAGGGGATCTGATACTCTGTTCTGACCTCTTTGGCACCAGGAACACACATGGTACACAGACATACATTCAGACAAAATGTGACTTGAATAGAATGTTTAACCCAGTGGGTCATCCCATGTGGTAGTTATCTTCATTATTCTACAAGGTATGTCTTGAACATCTACCCTCTGTAAAGTTCTTCATCATCTTGATGTGCTGCTGTTGCCACTGGAATTATCTCCAGAAGGGGGTTTCATGAGGTCCAACTGTTCTTCAGGTCAAATCTTAACATGTCGTAACATTTTGTTTATTCTCTCCATTTTGGAAAAGAAAAGAAAACTCTGTGTGTGTGTTTGTATGTCTCTGTGTGTGTTTATCTTTGTTTTTTTGTTTGTTTGTTTTTTTGAGACAGCATTTCTTTGTATTGCCCTGGCTGTTCTGGACCTTGGTTGTAGACCAGACAGACTTGCCTCAAACTCAGAGATCTGCCTGCCTCTGTCTTTAGGGCAGACTTTTCTTTCCTTCCCACCAGTTCCCAAATAACCAACACAGAGGCTCAATATTAATTATAAATGCTCAACCAATAGCTCAAGCTTGTTACTAGCTAACTCTTACATTTTAAGTTAACCCATATTTCTTATCTACACTTTGCCATGTGTACTATGCCTTTTCTCAGTTTGGCATGCCCATCTTGCTTCTCTCTGCATCTGCTCAAAACTCCAGACTCAGCCCTTCTTCCTCCCAGCATTCTCACTTTGGCTCTCCTGCCTAACCTTATCCTGTCCAGGTTCTGGCCATTCAGCTTCTTCATTCAACCAATCTCAGCGACATACATTCACACAGTGTAAAGGAACAGTCTACATCTGCCTCTCAACTTTTGGGGATTAAAAGCATGTACCACCATGCCTGCAGGCATGCTTGTAATTGGGTATGGTAGTGCACCTCTTTAATCTCAACACTCTAGAGGCAAAGGCAGATGGCTCTCTATGAGTTCGAGACCAGCCTCATCTGCAAAGTGAATTCCGCTTCATAGGAGCTACATCGTGAGACCCTGTCTCAAACAAAACTCACAAACTCTGTCTCAGGTGTCACATCAGAGAAGTTTCCATAGGAGCTCTAATGTTGCTGGTTTTGAAATGTATTATATTTTGTAAGTTGTAATGGGGGAGAAAGACCATGGGAAATGTTTTGTCAAATAACTCAGAATTGCTTTTTATTTTGTGGTGGAAATGAGCAAAGCCAAAGGCCTCCTAGCTGACATTACATCACATGAGCCACCTCCCACTGATTAAGAACTGATTGACACAATCCAGTTTGTGCAGTTAGAATTAGAGTGAGAACATTGGGGGCTACATTGTTCTTTTTCTTTGAACATTTAGTCTAAAATTGGGGTGTTGTGCATTGAAAGCAAGTATATCTTTCTTATAAGCTGAAAGTGAGCCTGCACCATGTCAAAGATATTTGTTTCTTTTTGTTTTGTTTTGTTTTGTTGTTTTTGTCTTTCAAGACAAGGTTTCTGTATAGCTCTGCCCATCCTGTAACTCAGAAATTGGCCTGTCTCTACCTTACAAGTGCTGGGGTTAAAGGTGTCTGCCACCACACTACCAAGGCCAGGCTTCTTGTTTGTTTGTTTGTTTGTTTTTTGTTTTTCTAGACAGGGTTTCTTAAACATTTTAAGACCTAGCCAGGTGGGGTGGTGGTGCATGTCTTTAATCCCAGCACTCAGGAGGCAGAGGCAAGTGAACTTCTGTGAGTTCGAGACCAGCCTAGTCTACAGAGAAAGTTTCAGGACAGTCAGGGATACACAGAGAAACTCTGTCTTGGGGAAAAATAAAATTAAGACCTAATGATTTAGCATTGAATATTTTAAAAATTTAGAACTCAAAAATAATTTTTCAAATTATCTAAATGACTACTTTATTTTCATATAGGAAACTGAGGCCCAAAGTAGGTGTCTTGGCTGTGTTTTCATTTCATTGGACTGAATTAATAGAAATGGTGAGCCCAGACCTAGGTTTCACACCTGACTTAGATTTGTTTTACTGTTCTTGTTCCACAGCTGTGTTTTTATCTTTCTCTGGACTTAAAAAATGAGGGGTTTTCTCGTGTGTGTGTGTGTGTGTGTGTGTGTGTGTGTGTGTGTGTGTTTGAAAATCTTTAAGTCTGTGAAGAGCTCGCCCTCTAGTGCTCACTTAACTACAATTCAAGCACTTGCCTAGTAAATTTTCTTTATTATCAAGAGGCTTCCTGTAACATACAGGAAACTGATATAAAAATGGAGAGGTGTGACTGAATGGTGGTGCACGCCTCTAATTCCATCACTTGAGAGGTAGAGGCAGGCGGATCTCTGAGTTCGAGGCCACCCTGGTCTACAGAGTGAGTTCCAAGACAGCCAGGCCTGTTACACGGAGAAACCCTGTCTCGAAAACCATACAGAGTGAGAAACTCTCCGTATGTGTTTTCCCTTTCTGCTCTGTTCACCTTACAGACTGTTTGAATACTTATTTCTTATGTCCTGTTAACAAACTTTCATCTGACTCCTTGTCTTCAGTCATGTGTAATATTTTATTGCAAATTTCAGACAGCCTATGTAAACAAAAGTGTTTGGAAATCTTGCTGTTTTATTTCTTTCTTTTAAAAAGGATTCCTCCCCACACATACACCTTCTTTTTGTTCTAGAGATTTTGAATCTAGGCACAGAATTATGTTCCAGTCCTGGGTGTCTTCTTTTTCTATGAGTAACTGACTTTCAGAACCCTTCTTGTCAGACTCAGGGGCCCATTCCTGTAATCTCAGTAGTTTATAAGCAAGAGGCAGGAGGATCACCAAAACTTTAAGGCTTTCTTGAGTTTCATAGTGTGTTCCAGGCCAACCTGGGCTACCAAGTGAGACATCTTTCTCAAAAACAAAACAAAACTAAACAGGAAAGTCACCTTCCATCACAGGGCTGTTTACAAAGTTGCCTTTTCCAGGCAACTTTGAGTTGAAGATGACCTGGGAGGTGCTGGGGGTAGGAAGAGTGTTTGGAAGGCAGATACAAGGTAGTAACAAGGTGCAATGAAATGTACATGTGAAAGAGTATTACTAATTTTTTGTTAAAATATTTCTTATTTATTCAAGTGTGTGTGTGTGTGTGTGTGTGTGTGTGTGTGTGTGTGTGTGTGTGTAAAATCTGTTCTTGTCACATTATTCACTCCCAACTCCTCCTGGACCTCCTCCAGCACATGCTGTTCTCACCTTCATCTCCTCCTCCTCCTCTTCTAAGTGACCCACTAAGTCCAGTTAGTGCATCCTTCGTGAGCATGAGCCATATCCCAGAGATAAAATGGCTTCCCTCCTCTAGCAGCCATCAGTTGCCAGTCGCTCCTCAGCTAAGGGTTGAGCCTCCCACATGTTGGCGTTACTGACTGGCTTGATCCTGTGCAGTTGATTAGCTGCTGGAAATTCATGAGTGCAGTGGCCATTTCATAACCAAAAGACAGCATTTTCCCCCATCCTCCAATCTTTATGTTCTTTCCTCGCCATCTTCCTTTGTGGCCCTAGAGTCTTACTGGAGGATAGAGATGTCCCAATCAGGGGAAAGCACTCACCAGTCACCTGTTCTCAGAACTTTGAAAATTAAAAGTCTCTTAGAAACTTCTGTGGCGAAAATTAGGAGCAGCACTAATATATGGGTGTAGACAAATAATTCAGAAGACAGTTTAGGGGGCTGGAGAGATGGCTCAGAGGTTAAGAGCACTGGCTGCTCTTCCAGAGTTCCTGAGTTTAATTACCAGCAACCACATGGTGACTCACAACCATCTACAGTGAGATCTGGTGCCCTCTTCTATCCTGCAGGTATACATGCAGACAGAACACTGTATACATAATAAATAAATTGGAAAAAAAGAAGGCAGTTTGCATATTCATTCCTTTTTGTGCAAGTGTCACAGTTATGCATGTTGTGCTGCACTTTTAGCCTAGATGATAATCTTGGGTATTACTTTCGCTCAAAAAATCAGAGTCAAGTTGAAGTGGTATTATGCGTTCCTGTAATCCTAACACTCGGGAGGCTGAGGTATAAGGACCATGAGTTTTAGGCCAGCCTATCTTAAAAATAAAACAAGTGGGCTCGAGAAATGGCTCAGAGGTTAAGAACACTGGCTGTTCTTCTCAGAGGTCCTGAGTTCAATTCCCAGAAACCACATGGTGACTCATAACCATCTATAATGAGATCTGGTGCCCTTTTCTGGCATATTATACACAATAAATAAAACAAGTTAAAGGTAGTCTTTTAGTTCTCTTATGTACTTTTCTCTCCTTTTTGAGTCAGGTTCTCACGTAGCCCAAGCTGGCCTTAAACTCAAAGAAATCATCTGCCTCTGCCTCTGCCTCTGTCTCTGTCTCCCCGCCTTTTGAATAATAGGGTAAAGGTATGCACCACCAAGCCCAACTGTAATCTCTTTTGGTGGTGCTCTAAACTCAGCTAAAACAAAAAGTAAACACAAATCCTGCCTGTAATTTTAGTACTTAAGAAGTGGAGGTAGGAGGATCATCCCGAGCTACATAGCCACCTTTTGCTACATGAAACCCAAGCTCTGTAAAACAAGAACAGTAAATAAAAAATAAGATGCCTGTGATGAGCCATGGGAAATTCAATGTAGATGCATGTGCTAGTATTCAGTTGACATCCAACATATTTCTGTGAACTTTTCTGTAGTTAGTAGTTTATCTTCCCATTTCAAAGGAGAGAAAAAACTAGCAACTTGTTTTAGTCAAGTTCCAAGAATCAACTTGTTTTGTATATCCATAGAAGACTCTTTAGTACTAAACTTGCTGAGTTGTCCTGGAACTCGCTCTGTAGACTATGCTGGCCTCTAACTCACAAAGATCCACCTGCCTCTGCCTCTGCCTCTGCCTCTGCCTCTGCCTCTGCCTCTGCCTCTGCCTCTGCCTCCCAAGTACTGGGATTAAAGGTGTGTGCCACCACTGCCCGGTTTACTTGCTGAGTTTTTTTTTTTTTTTAATATTTATTTATTATGTGTACAATATTCTGTCTGTGTGTATGCCTGAAAGTCAGAAGAGGGCACCAGACCTCATTACAGTTGGTTGTGAGCCACCATGTGGTTGCTGGGAATTGAATTCAGGACCTTTGGAAGAGCAGGCAATGCTCTTAACCTCTGAGCCATCTCTCCAGCCCCACTTGCTGAGTTTTTAAGGTAGTTATGGGATACATGGAGCAAGTGGGAACCAAGAAGTGATTCTTCTCTGCTGACTTGAAACTGAACTGTTTATTTTTGTGATAAATTAAAATTGTTAAACATCTGGAGTAGTGGGGCTATGGTGGCGTACACCAGCACTTGGGAGGCAGAGGCAGGTAAGTCTCTGTGATTTCAAGGCCATCCTGATCTACAGAATGACTGCAAGGGCTACACAGAGAAACCCTGTCTGGGGTAGTGGCCGGGGATGATAAACGTGTGGTTTAGGCATTCCACAGCTTATATCTTTGCAGGCCTAGCCAGTGGGGAACTATTTGATATTAGCTTCAGCTGCTCGGTCTGCTGCTCACTTTCCCTTATGGTAGCCAAAGGGTAACCGCAGCTCATATGCTACAAGTCCTCATTCGTGTATGTATGATTTCATGTTCAGACAGGTAGCAGTGCTGAGTAAGGAGTGGTTTGACCACCGTCTAGCATCAAGCCTTGATCTTAATTTAGAATTTGCTCTTCACTTACTGTTTACTTGTTAGCAACAAAGGAAGGCCACCCACTGCTTTTCAGTTTTGATCTAAAATATTTCTACTTTGGGTATAACAAAGATTAGTAAGCAGAGCCTTTCAGAGCAGAAGGGCTTGGGGGATTACTCAGTTTTAAAGCTCTTTGTGCTTTAATAGCTGCAGACATAATATGTGATCTGTCTTCCCTCTTAGAGCAAAGCCGGCGAGATGATTTGGAAGCCCTAGGCCATATGTTCATGTACTTCCTCCGTGGCAGCCTACCCTGGCAAGGACTCAAGGTATCCTTGAAAGTGCTCTCTCTCTCTCTCTCTCTCTCTCTCTCTCTCTCTCTCTCTCTCTCTCTCTCTCTCTCTCTCTGTTAATGAAATGGCTCATCAGATAATGAAATGGCTGCTGGCTTGGTATCTCTACAAAGCACAAAGGGGAAGGCTGATTTCAGAGGTGAGAGGTGGGGATTAGTGACATTAGTCACATTTAAGTCTTCACCTGGGCTTCAGGTGTTCACATTTCCCTTCCTCACCTTCTTACCTTAATCCTACCTCTTTGTATTTGGGTGGTGGTGCACGCCTTTAATCCCAGCACTCCGGAGGCAGGTGGATCTCTGTGAGTTCGAGGCCAGCCTGGTCTACAAGAGCTAGTTCCAGGAAAGGCACCAAAAGCTACAGAGAAACCCTGTCTTGAAAAAAACCCAGATCTAAGTGGCCATGGGAGTTTTCTAAGCTGCTATGATTTTTAAAATTCTGCTTCATAATGTTATTGTTTTGTTATCCTCTCTATCCTTCTCATCTGAGATTACTAAACATATTTCAAATGCGACTTTCTTGAACACAGCAGGGGTTTACATATATCTAGACACAGCATGTCTTATTCTTATTCGTTAAAGAGGAAAAATACTGAGATCTGCTAACAAATCCTGCCAGTTTGAATGAAAACAACTATTGTGGTGGCTAGAGAAATGCCTTGGTGGTTTAAGAGCATGCATTTGCTTTTGTGGAGCACCCAAGTTCCTTCCCTAGCACCCACATCAGTTAGCTTATAGCCACCTGTAACCCCAGCTGCAGGGAACTGGTGTCGTTTTCTGGCCTTTTTGGGCACATATTCAACATCCACACATACACATATAATACACAGATACATACACACATAATTGAAAGTAAAATCTTAAAAAGAATATAACTCCAGTATCTGAGAACATACTTGAACTCACTTTCTTAGTATATTTTTTCCAGATAATTTTCTTACTTTACTTTCTACAGGCTGATACATTAAAAGAGAGATATCAAAAAATTGGTGATACCAAAAGGAATACTCCCATCGAAGCTCTCTGTGAGAACTTTCCAGGTAGGATGCTAAAAGGATAATACAGCCAGTGTGACTGGCACTTTGAAGTAGGCAATGTCACAGTATCTATAAATACCAAATAGGTATCATTTACATTTCTTTTTATTATTATTCAGTCCACGGAAGGTATCACTTTTATTTGGTCCCTAAAGAAAACATTAGTGTCAAGTAATCTGTAGAGATATCTCTTGTGTGGTCCAGGGCTTAGCCTCTGGGGAGACATTCAGCTAACAGGCATGGCTTTTTACCTTTTTTTTTAACAGAGGAGATGGCAACCTACCTTCGGTATGTCAGGCGGTTAGATTTCTTTGAAAAACCTGATTATGAATATTTACGGACCCTCTTCACAGATCTGTTTGAACGGAAAGGCTACACCTTTGACTATGCCTATGATTGGGTTGGAAGGCCTATTGTAAGTATCCTTTAAAAAAATTCTTGCTGGGTGGTGGTGGCTGCAAACTTCTTTAATTCTAGCACTAAGGAGGCTGAGGCAAGGCAGAGAGTTCAAGGCCAGCCTGTTCTACAACATGTGTTCCACACTGAGAAACCTTGTCTTGGAACCAAACAAAACAAAAAAATCCCAGACCAGTACTGTCCTGTCGTTTTACTTGACAGTCCTTCTACTTAAATCTCTGTGGGGGGGAAATTGCTTGCATTTACCAATCTTTTTCAAGTAACACTATAGGTTCCTGTCGTTAGACCAATGAGTTGTATGTTTTTTGGATTATTGCTTATGGGGGCCAAAGAGATGACTCAGCAGGTAAGAGCACTTGCTGTCCTTACAGAGGACCCAGGTTCAGTTCCCTGAAATTCCAATCTGTAACTCCAGTTCAAGGGGATCCAGTACCCTGCCTTCTTTCGCTCTGTGGGCACCAGGCACGTGTAGGGTGTTCATAGACACATTTAGGCAAACTCTTAACACACATAAAATAAAACAAATCCTCAAAGATTATTATGTATATATCCCAAAATACCAGAATTTAAGCCAGTTTTTTATACATTTTTAAAAAACTGATTCACAATTTAGTTCTGTCTGTGCTATTGAGGAACTTGACTTCTGTAGGAATAGAATTCTGGATTTACTAATTCTGCCAATAGTCCATACCATCAGAGACTGTGCTAACAGATAATGCAGTAGAACAGGCATTCTTTCTAAGGTAGCCTGCCCCCAAATGGATTGTTGAGGACCAGACTACCTTCCCTTCAGCAAATGACCAAATTCAGGAGAACAAGATAATTTAAAAGAAAAACAGCAGGGGACTGGAAAAATGCCTTAGCAGTTAAGAGCACTGGCTACTCTTCCAGATGACCTGGGTTCAATTCCCAGCACCCACCTGGCACCTCACAACTATTTGTAACTTCAGTTCCAGGAAATCCAACACCCTTTTGTGGCATCCTTGGGCCTGCAAGCACATAGTGCAGAAACATACATGCAAGCTGAACCCCTATCCACATAAAAGTAAATTTAATTTTTTTTAAGAAAAGGAAAAGACTGATTCATAAGAATTAACATGCTGCTTCCCTTTGCAGAGCTATTGCATTAAATTTGTTTTCTCCATTTGACCTTTTTGGGTAGCAGTTTTTGAGACAGGGTCTTATTGTGTAGCTTTGACTATCCTGGAACTCACTCTGTAGACCAAGCTAGCCTCAGACTCACAAAGATCCACCTCACTCTGCCTCTAGAATGCTGGGATTAAAGGTTTGCACCATCACACCAGTTACTATTTGATGTTCCTTTCATTTTTCTAGCCTACTCCAGTAGGATCAGTTCATGTAGATTCTGGTGCATCTGCAATAACTCGAGAAAGTCACACACACAGGGATCGGCCATCACAACAGCCTCTTCGAAATCAGGTATGTGTTAGGTTTTAGTTGTTTTAGTCATTCCCCTCCTTTATGGCTGCTGTTCAGCCCAGATTCTTCCCCTTCTATCTGTTAGTGTGTGTGTGTGGAGTAAAAAACAGCTGGTTTAGGATGACATTGGAGGAACTGTCAGAGCATGTGTAAATGCACTGAAATGAAGCATGCAGCAAAAGAATCTGGGCCTGACCCACCAGCTATGGTGTCTCAGAGTTGGTCTCAGCATTGGGTAGAAGCAGACAGAGCTCTTAGTTAGAGGCCAGCTTGGTCTACATAGGGAACTCCAGGCAGCCAGACTGGATAATGAGGCTGTTTCCAAAAAAGAAAAAAGAATCTGGGCCTGAGGGAGTACTCTGGTTTTCAGGAGATCTGATCGCTGGCTGTGAGTTAGGATCTAAGGTCTGAAGGACTGTTGGACCTGCAGATGTACCACATGGTATACTTAGGGTCCTATCTGCAATTGAATCTGGAGCTTATACCAGTTATACTCTTCATTTGCTGATAAGACTGGTGATTTGGCTTTTCACCTGACCTCGTATAAACTGCAACCTGTACTGTTGCAATCATATCCAAGTTGACTTGAAAGTTGTGTAAGATGCCCTAAAGATATAGTTCAGGGATATAGTATTTGCCTGGCACATACAAGCCATGGGTTCAGGGTCTGGCAGAGCCACAAAAAAAAGGAAGAAAGATTCATTTATGTTTAGAGCTCAGTGTGATGGGGCATATCTTTTAATTACAGTTCTTTTAAGTTGGAAACAGTTAAGATTGCTATGAGTAAAGGTCAGGGTGGGCCACATTGTAGTATTCTTATCTTAAAAAGTAAGTATATAAACAAATCTTCATAATTTCTTATCAAAGGAAGGGAAAGTGAGCAAAGTCATTGAGAAGCGATAGTACAGTGTGTGTGTGTGTGTGTGTGTGTGTGTGTGTGTGTGTGTGTGTGTGTGTGCTTGATTTTGTCTTTTAAGACAGGGTTTCTCTGTAGCTTTGGAGCCTATTCTGGAACTAGCTCTTGTAGACCAGGCTGGCCTCTAACTCACAGAGATCCACCTGCCTCTGCCTCCCTCCCAAGTGCTGGGATTAAAGACGTATGCCACTACCACCTGGCTGATAGTACAAGATACTAACAGAAGTAATGTTGTAAATAGAACTCTAAGTGATATTTTCCTAAAACATTTTCTAATGAAGTTCCAGTTTTATAATAAAAGGATACTTTAAAAGAATGTATAAGGCCAGGCAGTAATGGCGCACACCTTTAGTCCCAGCACTCAGGATGCAGAGGCAGATAGATCTCTGTGAGTTCGAGGCCAACCTGATCTACAGAGTGAGTTCCAACCAGGGCTTCACAGAGAAATCCTGTCTGAAAAAAACAAAAACAAAAAAGAAGAATGTTTAGGAAGAGAAAGGGATAAAAGTGAAACCATACTCATTATAGTTCTGCCCTTCTTTGGGAGTTGGGTGGGTTTCAAGACAGCTTATCTCTGTGTAATCTTGGCTGTCCTAGAACTTGCTCTGTAGAGCAGGATGGCTTCGGACTCACAGAGATGCACCTGCTTCTGCCAAGTGCTGGGATTAGAAACATGAGCCTCCACTGCCCAGCTTTCATAAACACAGGAATGCGCACACACACACACACACTTTTTAAAAAAATCGAGATTGTTCATATGAAAGAAAATGAGACAATTTGTCTCCTGCCTCCATTGCCCTATCTTGTTTCTCCCTTCAGTAGTCTCATTACTCTTCCCTGCTTTCATGTTGTATAGGGTCTATACTATAGATTGACAGGTATAGGCACTTGCTAGCAAACCTAATAACCTCAGTTCAATGCCCAGGACTCACATGGTGGAAGGAGAGAGGAATAAATAGGGAGCTCTTATTTCCAAAGATCTGACAAATAGATAGGCCATGAAACTAGGTAACTATAGCACAAGGTAGAACAGATAAGCATTAAAAAGTATTACCACTTGGAATTAGTTTTTGTTTTTGTTTGAAACAAGGTCTCTGTAGACCAGACTGGCCTCTCAAATACACAGATATCCACTGAGTGCTGGGATTAAAGGTGCAGGCCACCGTGCCCAGACTCATTTGAAATTCAAAGGAAATATTTCCCCTAGCCAGAGCATGGCAAATTATTTTATGAGGCGGTAAAACAAATGCTGCATTTGAAACAGTTGCTTTTGAAAGAAGTAGAGATGGACAAGACAGTCCAAGCAGAAAGAGTGTGTATGGGCAACAACAATTATGTATCGAATAAAGGAGTCCTCAGAATTGGGTCTAAAAAGATAGGAAGCTAGGCTGAAGAATTGTTGGTCCTTAACTTCAATAGGTACTTGAACTAAAAAGCAGAAGACTGATATTGAAGAAATTTGCTTTAAACTTTTTATTTTAAATGTGGCAACTAGTGTGGGGGGAAAGTAAGAATAAATTAAAATATGAGGACCTGAGTTCAATCCCCAAACTTGATTTTGATCCAGAGCTATTCTTGGTGGCATGCGTTTATAGTCCCAATGCAGGGAAGGTAGAGACAAGGGGATCTCTGTGCTCACTGACCAGCCAGCCTGGTGAAAATTGTCAAGCCCCAGGTCCCAAAGAGAGACCATGTCTCAAAAAACAAGGTGGCTGACCCCTGAAGAACATGACCTCAAAGGTTGTTCTCTGATCTCCATGTACACACATGTACTTGCACTCACATAGGCGTATACCTCTAAACATAAACAGTGCACACAAAGCATTCCTGCACTGATCCATGCCTCTGCATCAGTCAGAAGCTTAGGTTCCATCATCCACACACATGTCAGTGTAAATGAATGTACATTTCAGCCCCTTTCTTTCGTTTTCTTTTTTTTGGGGGGGGGCGTTCTAGACAGGGTTTCTCTGTGTATCCCTTGCTCTGTAGACCAGACTGGCCTTGAACTCAGAGATCCACCTGCCTCTGCATCCCTAGTGCTGGGATTAAAGGCATATATCACCACCACCCATCACTTGGCTCTCTTTCATTTTAAATTATTATTTTTTATTTATTTTTGTTCTGGAGATCAGGCCATATACAAGTATGCATCTGGTGAGCTACATTCTTAGTTCAAGCCTTTCCCTCCTCCCCCAATTTATGTGACTCAAAACAAATGCAAGAACAACTTTTATGGAAGGGGGTGATAGCTCAGTTGGCAAAGTGCTTGCCTTGCAAGCATGAAAACTCGAGTGATATCAGAAGAACATATGTGAAAAAAAGCTGGGTGGGGCCTGGAAAGTTAACTCAGCAGTTAGGAGCACTTGCTACTCTTCCAGAAGACCCTAGTTAGTTTCTTAGCACAAAATATACCTTAAAAAAAAAAAAAAGCTGGGAATGGTGGCAGGTACACACCTATAATTCCAGTAGTGTGGAGACTGAGACAGGCTGCTCTCTGGGACTCACTAGCCAGCCAGTCTATTTTACATGATGAGTTCCAGGCCCGTGAGAGACCTTCTCTCATAAAATAATAATAACAATAATAATAATAATAATAATAAATGTGGATGGTTACTGGGAACAAGACTAAAGTTGATCTCTGGCCACATATGCATATATACACAAATGCTTACACATACACACACCAAAACAAAAAAAAAAAAAAGGAGAGCAAAACCACCATTTATGGGAGAAGTGATTGTTTTATGTATGTACCATAAAACTCTAAAGAATTCTAACTGGCCAGTAAAATGGACTTTTTAATGTTTTATTGGCATATATTGGTTATGTGTGATGATGGGTTCCATTGTGACAGCTTCTTGTTACCCTGTCCTTTCCCCTTTTGCTCTCACTAATCCTTTATTCTTCCTAGCTAGTTTCTCTTCTACTTTTGTACCTTTTCTTTTTTTTTTAAAGATTTGGTAACCTTGTCTGTAACTCCTGTTCCAGGGGATCTGACACCCTTACATAGACATACATGTAGGCAAAACACCAATGTGCATAAAATACAAATAAATTATTTTAAAAAAAATAAAAGCCAGGCGGTGATGGCTCATGCCTTTTATCCCAGCATTCGAGAGGCAGAGGCAGGCAGAGCTCGGTGAATTTGAAGCCAGCCTGGTCTACAAAGCTAGTTCCAGGATAGCTAGGACTATTACACAGAGAAACCCTGTCTTCAAACAAACAAAGATTTACTTACCTTATGTATTCGTATATGTGTGTGCTCAAGTATACATAATATATACATATACCATGTATATATGGATCCCTGAAGAGGTCAGAAGAGGGTGTTAGATCTCCTTGAATTGGAGTTATAGGCAGTTGTAAGCTCCCTAGTGTGAGTTCTGAGACTGAACCCTGTGGTTCCTCTGGAAGAGTCAGCAAGTGCTCTTAACTGCCAAGCCATCCCTCTAATTTCCATATCCTCTTCTGTTTTTTTGTGACCATTGAATTTAATTGGTGTTACTTACAGGGAAATGGGCAATTTACCAGTGTCTATGGTGCTGAAAAAAAATGTCCCCCAGCAACTATTAACTACCTATAGATCCTCAAATAGGGGCAGATCTTTGAGAAACCCTTGTCTTCTTACATTTGTTTGTTTGGTTGGTTGGTTGGTTGGTTGGTTGGTTGGTTGGTTGGTTGGTTTTTAGTTTTTCGAAACAGGGTTCTCAGTGTTGCAGCTCTGACTGTCCTGGAACTCATTTGTAGACAAGGCTGGCCTCAGATTCAGAGAGATCCACCTGCCTCTGCCTCCTGAGTGCTGGGTTAAAGACATGCACCACCACTGCCTGACACATTTTTGTTTTTTTTTTTAATTTATGTGTATGAGTGTTTTTGTTGGCATGTATGTCTTTGTGTGTTGTGTGTGGCTGATACCCACAGAGGTCAGAGGAGGGCATTGGATCCCCTGGAACTGGAGTTAGGGATGGTTGTGAGCCACCATGTGGACACTGGGGACTGATCTCAGGTTCTCTGCAAGAGCAGCAAGTGTTCTTTCTATCTGCTGAGCCATCTCTCCAATCCCTTTAATTCTTTAAATCTCAGGAGCATGGGCACTGTTGTGGCACACACCTGAAGCAGGGGATCATGTGTTTGAAGTCAACCTGGGGCTGCATAATGAGATCCTGTCTCAAAAAGTAAACAGCTTTATAGTACTGATACTACATAATAGTTTTAGACCTTAAATATTTTGCTTAAGTTTTACTAAATTGGTTATGTATATTCTAACATTAGAAAAGCAGATTTAGTCTATTATCTCTGGGCTTCAGACAATGTCCCTAAGTTTATAACATGGTGTAGTTATGCTGTACAGCATTGGGAACATCTTCAACAGGAATTATGGGAAGGGAAGCACCAGGGTAGTTTAATATGAGCTACACAGGTTACTAGTGGGATGATGGTTTGCCAGTTCAAGACTAGTCTGAACAACTTAGCAAAATTCGATGAGTCTGAGAGGGAAGGAATGTTTGTAATAATTTGAACTCTCTTGTGTTGTCCACAAAAAACCCTACCCCAGTTTGTAGAAATTACATAGTAAACAAGCTAATACAGCTACCTACTCATCTCCACAAGAAATAACAGTAAATATGGCCAAAATCTCCTACAATGCTATTATCCATGTGACCTCATTCATAGTCTATTAATAATGATGAGTAAATTGTAGCTTTATAGAAAATATCTTTTAGGTGACTTGCCAGTAAGCTTTAAGCAGTTCCTATCAGTGAAATCCTCAGCAGGAGATAGCCAATGTGGAGCTTTAAGCTATTACCTTCTCATGCTTCATTTTCTTATTAAGTTTTCAACTTAGCATACAAAGTAATAGGCATTATCATAGAAGTCTTATATATATGTGTGTGTGTGTGTGTGTATGTGTTATATACATTGTTCTAATTAATTCTCCTTTCCCTGTTCCATTTTTTTTCATAAAATACACATTTATAGCTACCAGCATTTCTGAGATTTATAGGTTCCTTACCTAGTGATCATATAGAGCAACAATATTGCACCCCATCCCCTGCTGCTGCTGATTATCAACAGCAATTAAAATTTGATTTACTAATTCCTCATTACACTTCTCATTTTTTAGTTTTTAGAGTCTTAGGACTGTTAGAGCTGTGCAGCATGATGTTAGTACCTCCTCAGCCATCTGGACAGGGCAAGGGGCACCTAGTACAGATTCTTCAGTACGAAAAGTCACACACATAAGCGAGATCAGAAGAGTATGAGGTCTTAAAGAACAGAACAGACAGGTTAAGAAGATATGAAGGCAGCCTAAATGGCAGCAAAAATAGAAACAGAAGGGTTTTTTTTTTTGTTGTTGTTTTTTGTTTGTTTATTTAGTTTTTCCAGACAGGGTTTCTCTGTAGCTTTGGAGCCTGTCCTGGAACTAGCTCTTGTAGACCAGGCTGGCCTCGAACTCACAGAGATCCGCCTGCTTCTGCCTCCCGAGTGCTGGGATTAAAGGTGTGCGCCACCACCGCCTGGCATGGGCATTAATCTTGAATGGGTAGTAGGCTCTTTGGCTCAGTTCCTCATGTAAAAACTTTGATCTGCTCAGTGAAATCATTTATAAGTGTGAAATTTATAATAATGAAGTTATTTATGACTGTTTATTTGCTCAACACTCTTAACTTTCTGAATTTAATCCACTTAGTAGTTGCTGGAACTACACGAATGTGAAAGTCAAAGCGTGATGTCCAGCTTTTGGTTGGCTCCCTCCCTTCCTTTGTTCAATACAGGTTTTCTTTCAATTGATGTGTTGGTTCATTAGTGAAAATAAATACGGTCACAGTACTATTTCTCAGTGCTTTGCAGCAGTTGTTAGTGTCAGTCTCCAAACAGAACCCTGCAGCAGGAGCACTAATGTACTGGATTTTGTTGTTGCTTTCTGTTGCTTTACCTCTCCTTCCATATCTTGCTGTCATGCTTCCTAATGCCTAAGCAGACTGCATCATCAGAGCGCCGAGGAGAGTGGGAAATCCAGCCCAGCCGGCAGACCAATACCTCATACCTGACGTCTCACTTGGCCGCAGACCGCCATGGGGGTTCAGTACAGGTACCTACTGTCTTCCCTGGCCTTCTCAGCCTGTCTAGTAGAATGTTGGTTTGCTCTTGCAGTTTGGGTTCCTTTCAGATGGTCACTTACAGCAGGGGTGAGTTGCTTCTTTTTAACTGTTTATCTCTGTGCTGATTTTCTGTACGGACTTTGGTAAAAGTAATTTTTTGAGATAATTACTGCCTTTTATCATTGACTTAGAAACATCTGCGTGATTTCTGTTTTGAGTTAATCCGACCTATAATCTTGATCTACTCGTGATCTACAAAATACCATCAAGGTAGAAAGCGTTAGTATCTGAATTGTAACTTAGAATTGGAGCCTTCCAGTACTGGAGGTATGCATGTGTAGCTCATCCTGTGATGACAGAGGGTTTAGCACCTGATAGCCTGGGAGTATTGACTGATTAATTTCCTGAGCAGCTATCTAAGAAGTGGAGCTATATTCTGTTTACTCTGGAATAAATTTGGTCTTGAAATTATTTGTTTTTCTTTGAGCTAGCCTAAGGTTTTCTTCTCTGTTTGGTACCAGGATATCTTCTATCTCCTCACTTTTCTTGTGTGTAACTTTTAAAATCCTAAAGAAAAGTCAACTGAACATTTTTCTCATACTGATGACTCACTAGTTGAGGTATAAAAATGAACTCCCTGCATATAAATAAATCTTAATAGGCCTGATCTTCTAGAATATGCTTTAATAAGAAATTACTTACTGGAAAGATCTTTTTATTTGTAGGAAGTTGAGACACCTTTAGCCCTATAAAGTACTTCATAGAAACATGAAGTAAAATGATGAGTTGAATACACAGATTTGCTTTTATCTTCTGAAGCAGTGGTAAAGAAATCTTTTTAAACTTCGCATGGTGGCCTGGCGGTGGTGGCACACACCTTTAATCCCAGCACTCGGGAGGCAGAGGCAGGCAGATCTCTGTGAGTTCGAGGCTAGCCTGGTCTACAAGAGCTAGTTCCAGGACAGGCTCCAAAGCTACAGAGAAACCCTGTCTCAAAAAACTAAAAAAAAAAAAAAAAAAACTTCGCATGGTGGTATAGGCCTTTAGTTCCATCATTCAAGGGGCAGAGGTGGATGGATTTCTATGTGTTTAAAGCCATCCTGGTCTACATAGTGTGATTGAGCCAGCCAAAGTTACATAGAGAGACCTTGTCTCCAAAAAAAGAAAAGAAGAATAAAAAGAATTGTTTAGAGGTATAGGTCTATAAAAGGTGGAAAAAACAGTAAGTGCAACAAAATGTTGGAAGCTGAATACAACTTAAATAACAAGAGTCCCAGAAAACTGGATCTTAGTTTGTTCACCCTGGAATTTCCAAAAAGGCTCAAGACTTGGCCTTCTTTTAAGTTGAGGAGTGTTAACAGGGCATATAGAAGAGTGGTTGAAAGTCTTAAGACAACAAAGATCTTTCATGTTCTCTTCTTTCTTCACCAGAGACCACATCCTTATTTGGAGAGGGGAGGTGGGCATCAGTCCTTCCCATCTGATTCTGTGTCCTCCTACACCCCCTACCCCCAGCACAGGCCTCACCTTGTCTCAGGACCTAGACAGCTGTGGGTAAAGACCACACAGTCAGTAACATACAGCTGGCTGATTGCTTGTTCATCCTGGAAATGCTGAGTAGCTAATACTGAAATGAAAAATGCAGAGACAAAACTGGAGAGGTGGCTCAGCAGTTACTTGCACTTGTTCTTGCAAAGGACCCAGGTTTGGTTTCCAGTACCCACATTGAAGCTCACACTCATCTGTAACTCCAGTTTCAGAGGATCTAACACCCTCTTCTGCTTCCATGGGTACCAGGTTTACATGTGTACACCAACATACATGCAAGCAAAATGCCAATACATATAAAAAAAATTTTAAGAAATACAAAGGAAAAATTTTGCTGATAGAACAACATGACAAAATAACATCAAATTAAGGAGAAAACACACTTATACACAACAAGCTGAGCAGTGGTGGTGTACTCCTTTAATCCGAGACCAGAATTTTGAGGTGTAGGCAAGTGGATTTCTCTGTGAGTTTGAGGTCTGATTTACAGAGTGAATTCCAGGATACCCAGTACCACACAGAGAAACCCTATCTCAAAAAACAAACAAAACAGAGAAAGCAGTGAAACAGCAACACAACACAAAATGAATTATCCAAAAGTGCACAGATCTCTTATTGTAGAAAAGTAGATGTTCTTCCCTCTTTAGAATTAAAATGAACAATGTGCTAACAGTTTATGTATCAGTCAGTGTGTGGAGAAATTCCTTGGGGAGTTATACAACTTCTTTCCTGAAAGTTGAGGATATTTACATCTCATATTCAAAATGAAACTAACATATCTGCCGTAAAAAAAAAAAAAAAAAAAAAAACAAAGAAACTAAGGTTTTGTTAGTTTTTGTTTTAAAGTGGGTCTCTAGACTGAGGGATTGAGGTACACACCAGCCAGAAGGAAAATTGAAGGGTACTAATAGCATTACTCTCCCTAATGAAATGGCATAGCCAAGTCATCCTGAAGTATAATCCAGAGTTGTCAAGACCCAGCTATTCTCATGTGTCATTTGATATGCACCCTCTTATTTTAAACAGTTTTTATTAGGGCCTTGGAGAGATGGCTCACAGTTAAAAGCACATGCTGCTCTTGCAGAGGATCTAAGTTCATTCAGTTCTCAGGACATCAGGCAGCTAACTCCAACACTAGGGGATCTCACACCTTCTTCTGGTCGCCCTGGGCACCTGCACTCAAATACACATACCCATTGTCCTAACTTGCTTTCTTTGATAAACACCATGACCTGAAACTTGGGGAGGAAAGGCTTTATTTCTTCTTTCAGTTTGAAGTCACTGAGGAAAGGCAGAAACTGAAGTTGAGACCATTAAGAAACATTATATACTGACTGGCTTGCTCAGTCTACTTTTTCTTTTCTTTTTTAAAAATTTTATTTACTTATGTATTTAGTGTTTTGCCTGCATGTGTATGCCTGTAGGCCAGAAGAGGGCACCAGTTCTCATTACAGATGGTTGTGAGCCACCATGTGGTTGCTGGGAATTGAACTCAGGACCTTTGGAAGAGCATCCAGTGTTCTTAACTGCTGAGCCATCTCTCTAGCTCCAAACCTGCTTTTTTATATAGCCCAGGACCACCTGCATGCTGTGACCTGGGCCTTCCCACAGCAATCAACAATCAAATTGAAACTCCCTTCCCAGCTGACCCTTGATTGTGTCAGGTTGACAAAAAATTAATTGGCACACTATACTGGACATACACAAATATAATTAAAAATACGTCATTTAGAAACTTATTAGCGCCAGGCGGTGGTGGCGCATGCCTTTAATCCCAGCACTTGGGAGGTAGAAACAGGCAGATCTTTGTGAGTTCCAGGCCAGCCTGGTCTACAAAAGGTAGTTCCAGGACAGGCTCCAAAGCTACAGAGAAACCCTGTCTCAAATCCCAACGAAAAAAAAAAGGTTTTATTAGTGTAAGTTTTATAGAATTGGCTTCATTATGACATCATACATTATTTTATGTATTTACCACCCATTACCCTCTTTTTCCCTCTCACTCTGCAGACCCCTTCTTTACAGCTGCTCTAATGCTGTGTGTGTGTGTACAAACACATGCCAGTAAGTTCAATTCCAACTGTTTACAGGAGCATACTGGTGCCTACAATAGTGAAAGAAATGTCCCTTCCCACAGTAATCACTGGCTGCCCACTAAACCTCAAGGAGGGGTGGAGACTTCAGCATCCACCACTTCTAATATAGCCAGATAACCCTTGGTTATCAGGCTTCTGAGGGAAACTTTACTAAGAAAAAGAAACAAAGCAAACAAACTACAACAGCCCTGTTTTCTTTCTTTCTTTCTTTCTTTTTGTTTTTTGTTTTTTGAGACAAGGTTTCTCTGTGTAATAGCCCTGGCTGTCCTGGAACTCACTCTGTAGACCAGGATGGCCTCAAACTGACAGAGATCCACCTACCTCTGCCTCCCGAGGACTGGGATTAAAGGTGTGCACCACTGCTGCCTGGCTAAGAGCAGTGTTTTCAAAAGGGCAATCTTTGCCAGGTGGTGGTGGTACCCTTTAATGTCAGCACTTAAGAAGCAGAAGTAGGAGGATCTCTGGGAGTTCGAGGCTAGCCTGTTCTACAGAGCGAATTTCAGGACAAGCCTCAAAGTTACAGAGGAAACCCTGCATTGAAAAAACAAAAAAAAAGTTAGGAGATTCCCTGGGTGACCCCAACTGCTAGTACAGAAGGGCAGCTTTCACCAAACTGGTAGTCAGGAGTTTGGGGAGCTATTTCAACAAAACGATGAATGAAGGTGTAAGTCACGAACAATGCCACACCAGTTTGGAATTATGATTAATAGAGTGGTATTTATTTAAAGAGGAAAAAACTTACAGATCATCGTCCCAGACAACAGCCCTCTGCGCAACCAGAAAGGGAATCTAGTCGTCAGAGGAGCAGGAAGTGAAGAGAGTGAGCGGAGGAAGTAGCCGGTTTTTTAAAGGGAGAGAAACCACTCCCCAATGGGCTGGTATCTCAGCAGCTAATATCTCAATAAGCTATTTAAGTAAATGATTGCTCAGTAAATTCTGCTTGTCTAGCATATACACATCATTGGGTTCATTCCCTAACACTGTAGTAAATAATAAATATATATATATATATATGCATACATAAGACTTTGGATAGAACTAATGTTTTACCGTTAGTATATGAAAATTAATATAAAATAATTCTGTTTTAAAATTATTTTTAAACGTTTGTTTGCATGTATATGTACCACATGTTCAGGTGCTTTGAGAACACAGAAAAGAGCACAAGATTCCCCGGAACTAGAGTTAAATGCAGTTGCAAGCTACTTTATGGGTGAGCACTGAGAACTGAAGTTGGGTCCTCACGGGGAGCAGCAAGTGCTCTTAACCACTGAGTTATCTCTCCAGACAAACTTTTGGGTTTTTGTGACAAAGGGTCACATAGTCCTGACTGGCCTTGAAGTTATTAT